TTAATAATTTTATAATAATTTTTAATTATTTCAACTTATAAAAAGATTGATTTTAACAAAAAAAATTATATTTTTACATTTAAGTTGACATGTGTTGCCACTTAATTAATCGAATGTTAGTCAATTAATAAAAATTAATTAATCCGATGAAACAAATTAACGAACGAATTATTTTACATCAACATCTAATGATATAAGGTTTATTATGAAATCCAAATCTTTGTAGTTAGCAAGGGAGCATAGGCCCTTAATATTCAAAACTTGTTAGGGGACATATCTCCATGGAAATCACACCATTGCAATATTTAATGATCTGTGGTTCAAAATAAATCAACTTTTGAAAGAATGGAAAAGACAATTTCATATACCTAATGTTTTGCAATTTCAGGGTGGGAGTATCAAACTTTTTAACAAGTCAACTCTTTTCATACCCCACACCTGAATAGAAGGAGAATCATTGGCATAATAGAAAAATCCTAAGTTATGGTCTTGCCTTTGGAATAATCAAGAGATGAGGCTAAAGCAGATTTTCTCTTGCCCAAAAGTCTTCAGGTTCAATTCATTGACATGCAGACAAAAACACATATGCTGATGCCATTTCTTTTGGACACAATTAGGAGTATCTTCTCATAACAATGTAAATGGCATTGCTTTCCATAGCATAATTTAAGATGACACCACTTATATCAAACCGTGTACATGGTCTCAATCATGTTTAATATAATAACATTAATTGACTAAGTGCAAATTGTATGGATTTTCTTATGATTGCAGGATTTTGGGAGCTCATGATGATGATATGAAATCAAAGCCCAACAATTCATTTTGGCGTTTCGAGGGCATGTACAAACAATTGAGGTAAAGAGCTGCTTTCTATAGAAGAAGTGACGTGTAATTTTAATGATGGACTTGTTCCCAAAGAAATGAAGAAATGGAATTTGTCTGTCCTTTTGTCTAGATTCCAGAGACGCCCATTCGGCAAAATCATTGTTTTTTGAATCGAAGTCCACCCTTGCCCCCCTACTAACGCTAATGGCATCATGTTCAATAATATAAATTAAGAGACAAGGAAAATCTCTATTGATTCTGGGCTTTTCTTGGTAATGATGATGGGCACTTGAAACACAGGCCTAGAAAAGCCTATTCTGATATTGTCGAGAAAAACCACTACCATTTTATTAGAAAAATGAAAAAGACGACAAGAAGAATATTAGGCTGTCTGTGGTGGACAACATGATTTTCGATCCCATTAGAAAACTGTATAGACCATGAAACCACAAAGAGCAATTCAATTATTCACCAACCGCAAAATGAATTGAGATTCTTGAGCTGTTGCTTTAATTTATTGCCATTACAGTTATGATTATTGGACTGTTTCAAAACTAGTAAATTACTGGTAAATAAATGGTGAAATTAAAGAAAATTATCTAACAGCCTCATCGTACCAGGGAAGAAACAGGGAATTCCCACCGAAGTAAGGATCAAGGTTAGCCTCCATCATCTTCTTCATTAGCTGAGCGGCCTTCTCGCGTGCCTTTGATGATCCTCTCACTGAAATATCAGCCAGGACAGATGAGAACTCTGGCAACCTGAAAGCATCTCTAACACAGCCCTCACTTTCGTCAAAAAGCCGAAGAAGAATTTCAGCTGCGCCTTCCTTGCTCAGCATGCACCTACCTTTTAAAACATTCAACATAGAACTTACAATCTGGTCAGTTCTTATTAAGGCATTCAATCCTTCGTTGAACCGAACCAGGAGACCTAGAACAGCAAGAGAAGTTCCGGCCAAATCCTCACTGTCTGTGCTCTCCACTACTCCAATGAGTACCTGGACTGCTCCTGAACGGACAGCCACTGTACAATTCCCATGAAACTGCACAAGCTCGGCCAAGGAACTAAGGAGATGGTGAAAGGCAGGACCACGAGGTCCTGAAACAGCACCAACCAGCACCTGGACGGTACCTGCCACCCCAAACTTGGCCTTGTTCTTGTCTAGCATTGCCAAGCTGCAGATTAAAGAGCAAGCTAACCGGCTGATTTCAGGGGAACTTGTTGAAATAATTATTGAATTGAAGTGGTGAATGGTTTCCATATCTGCAAGAGTCCCTTTTAGATCAGGGTTCAGGGAGAGGTTGAAAAGGATGGATAACGCAAGAACTCTGATGATAGAGGAGGAAATCTTGGTTAGGGTAAGAAGGGTAGATATGGCACCATCTGTCTGGGCAAGCAAGCTCCTGTTTTGGGGACTGACCTTGGTAAGGGAAGCTAGGGTTTGCAGAGCTTTTTGCTGAACATCAACGGAGTCTGATTGAACATCAGAAAGACATTCAGTAATGATTTCGCGAAACTGAGCTACTGACATGGTTTTACCAGTGTAACAAGAGGCAGCAGCAATTTTACAACGCGCACACAGCTTAATATGCTTAACTATCTAATGAGGTCAATGATCAAGTCAGAATAATAGAAATTTCCAATGTCTAATGGCATTGGAAAAATCTCCATTTCTTGGATTGCCAGTTCTGCAATTTAGGATCTGCAGCATTGTTTCGACAATCCCGTAGTTTACATAACAAAATAATTATTTTCCTACTTTGGACAACACTGGTCGTATCACTAAAAGCATCCATCTATTTGGACAAACATAAGAAAACAGATCAGTCTTTTTTTTTTTTAGTACCCATAAATGGCTGGAATATGGTATGATTTCAAAAGCTAAAACAAGATTACTATAAAAAAACAAGAGCCAACACAATTTAGATGGCAAACACCAACTAGCATTGCAGAAAAATATTTGCATGGTACATTTGTGATGGCACCACTAGACATTAGGACACCTGGTTTGTTATATTGCATTACAGAAGACAATACATAGAATTTTCGTAGCAATTTTGATTTATTAAAGAATGAAATGTAACCATTGATTATAAGAACAATAGAAGCAGAATTAATGAAAGAATCATACCAATGGATAACCAGCCATACAGCCAGAAAAATCACTATATTGTCAGCCGCCCAATCTATTGAAGCAGAAAACATAAAGGACAAAAAGGTGCTTGGAGTTGCATTTTATACAAAACTCTCGTCTTTTCATCAAAAATCATTCCAGCAAGAGATTGCAAGCTGGATCAGTGATTGTCATCTCCATGCCCGTCAAGAGAACCTCCGGACCAACCACTTCCAGCTGCAGAACATAATTATAAATCATAGAACCTTCAGGAGACATCAATTGAAGAGCAAGAAAAAACCAAACAAAAAGGATTGACCTCTCTCCCCACCAAGAACCAGCACCAGCCAGCGGTGAATTTAGTTGTTTAGTTTCCTAAACATAAATGCATAAATACATATCTCCATACATGTGTGTGTGTTCTATCTGTGTTTTTGTAGCACCATCAGCAAATGGGGATGCATCCAACGACTCAAAGGTCAGTAGCTTACCTTGAAATTCATGGGGCTTTGCCTTTCTCCAACCGAAACCACACAACATCATGCTGTGTTGTTTTACAGTCAACAAACATAAAACAAAAGAACATGAGAAAACAGATTGCAAAAGCAAGACATTGCCAATTTCAAAGAACAAAAACCAAAAAGAAACTGATAATATCAGCTCACGACCTCCCTCGTCACCAGCACATCCAACAATTCTTTTGTCATAGACAGACTTGACGATAGCAGGTGATTCCTGCAGCCAATATCATGACATAACTAGAAAATCAGAAAAACTAATTCCATATTTTCACAGAATCACGTAAATATACAGTCCATAAGCAAGCCACATAAACAAAAACTGTGAAAAGAAAAATCACATGATTCCATTCCCTGCTTATAACCATTCAAACTTCCTAACAAGTAGTGCATTTTCCCAGGGATGTAAATCACGATTTAACAAGGAGAAAAAACAAACCCAAAATTTTGCAAGACTCAAATAATTCACCCCAAAATCATTAACAATCACACCGAACTACCACATTCCCCAATCGAACAAAATTACAATTAAAGCAGCAAAAATAAACACCAAAGAATCCAAGCAATTTTCAAGTTAATATTTATTTAATCATTGTATTAAAAAATCAAAATAATAAATCAAAAAGATCTATGGTTGATTTGCCTCGCAACCGGCGTTCAGTGTTCTTACCACAGAGTATCAAAATGGCGTTGCAAAACGACAACGGAGCGACTGGCCTGGTCCAGGTCATTCTAGGATCGAGCTACGGCCTGGACGGTCTGGGTCCCCCTTAAGATGGGCTGATTTCGGGGCCGCCAATGATTCCCAAGATGAGTTTGGTGGTGCTAAATAGGGCGTAAAGGCTAACGGTGTGGCTCAGGTGACCGCGAGACCAGTAGCGCTGGATAATCAGGAGGTCGGCCTAGGTATAGAACTCTAGATATACTACGTACAGCCACAATCCAACCTTTAAGCCCAATAGACCCAACTTCGATTTTTTTATAACCCAAACGAACAAATTGAGCCCAAAAACATTCTTCTCAGTATTGCCCAACCGAGCACAGTTTAAAAAACGAAAAAAAGAAAAAAGAAAACAGAACATGAAAATGCGATATTACAAGTATCAAACAGGCCATAGATGTTCTTATGTGTGTTTTATGGGCCGAAGCCCAGTTCATTTACTAGCAAAATAGGTCGTATTCAGGAGTCGGAACTAATTTAGTCGTAACCAACTAAAGATGAAGGCACTATAACCCATGCTTGTCCTGAGCATCATCAAAATATCAATTCTCATGGTCCAAAAACATAGGAACCAAAGTTTAAGCTTTTGATCCATCAACATGATTTACATGGTTAGAGCCTATATCTTGATTGGTCCCATCGTTACAGCAAAGAACCTTCCTGGCTTACTACTATATTAACTGATCAAACCAAAACAACCTGAAGTGCCAGACCATAGTTCAAGGGACATAGCTACCCTTGCAAAAACATATCCTAAGAGTTAGCAATTTCCATGAACATATATAAAGACAGTAAGCAGACGCACCAACATAAGAGCTCAAGCAACCCTGGTCTCAAATTTCAAACTTATGCCCATGCTGAATAGCTCCTGTGACAGCAACTTGGCCCCATAAGGTACCCTAACCTTGATAATGTCTTCACCAGACTGACAAACCCGGCAATAGGGACCCCTGATCTTGCGGGCACCTGGCCGTAGGATGATCGAGGCCACGAGTTTGCAGTTCTGGCAAATATGCATTTCAGAAGAGTCACTGAGAGTAAAAAGACGTTCGTGCAGGTTTGCAGACGCACCATGAGCTATGAGGCAGTCACGCTCCATCTCCCCGAACTTGACACCACCAAAACGCTTACGGTCTGCAACTGGCTGTCTTGTGAGTGGGTGTACCGGTCCTGTGTTTCGGAATTTTACCTTGTCTTCAGCCATGTGGACCAGCCGCTGATAGAATGTTGGACCCATAAATATGAGAGAACGAACCATTTCACCAGTTTGACCATTGTAAACTCTTTCGTTTCCCCATCTAGAAAATCCAGTCCTGTTGTAAACATTCAAAAGAAAGTCATTTCTCGCAATAACTTGAAGAAGAAAAAGAAGAGCATGAACAGAAAGAGAGGGGAAGGACTTGGAATGGACTGCAACATGCAATTTGACAATGAAGTGTGCCAGGATGAAGCAGTTTGAAACGCTAAAGGAGCCAAGAATGAGACAGCATTGACATTTTATTATTATTTGATTCTGAAGCAACTACGATACAATGGATTTCAGAGAAGCTATGCATCAAAATTTACAAATGGCATGATTGCCGCACAAGTAAATGCATTGTCACCTGTGAAGCTGGTCTGTGATTTCATCAACAGAGAGAGTGGAGAAAGGGGTGGCATATCTCTTTGAGCCCCCACAGGCGATTCCCTTTCCTAAAGCAGCCTCTAAGAGTTGACCAGGAGTTTGTCGTGAAGGAAATGCATGTGGGTTGATGACGATATCAGGAACAATTCCTTGAATTGTGAAAGGGAAGTTCTCTTGTGACTCCAAAAAGCCCAGAACACCCTTTTGCCCATGCATGCTTGAGAACTTGTCTCCAAGACATGGAGATCGAACCTGCAACAGCCATTCAGGAACATAACCGTGACAGAGAATATGATTTAAGAACATAATTGAATCAAGCAAAAGGCTACATCAATATTATTCAAACACCCACACACACAAAACACATTTGGTTCAAAAGGACTAGCAAAGTGACTACACCCTTCGAAAACAAACCAATGCTCCCCATGTAGGAGATGCATGTATGTGTGGGAGCAGATAGGTACCATGCAGAAAGTGTGCTTCAGTGGGGACACAAATAGAAGCAGCGTCTCTATGGTACTGTAAAACGTAGTATTTTTAGCAAAAGTACCTGTCTCAAAGACACAACAGCAAAATTCTTCCCCTCGTCGTTAGATGACAATACTACTTTCTGGACCATGCCCTTTTCAGTGTGCTTCAGTTTTAGACTATGATCCTCCCCAGATTCTGCACATCTCCCTATGACAATGTCACCGCTTTGCATATTAGCACCAATAAAAGGAAAACCATCATCATCAAGGCTGTCAACCCGTCCGATTTTGCTTTGTACTTTTGCAAAATTTATGGACTCCTCAGACTTCCGCCTCCTGTCAGCTAGGTCCTTGTTGTCCACCTCAGCCTTGTAGCTTCTAATGTGCTCAGAACGAAACATGCCACGCTCCAAAGAAGCACGATTCATTACCAAGGAATCCTCTTGGTTGTATCCCAGATGAACATTAACTGCCACAATAGCATTTTGACCATTGAACAACTCCGGCTTTGGCAGGACTGCGTTATGACCGAGTGGGTATCCAGGTTTACCAAAACAATCAGAAATGATTGTACGAAAAAGAGGCCTTTGGGGGTAGTGCAATTGGTGAGACAGGGTGTCAACTCTGATGTTGGGATTTGTTGTGGAAAAACCAATTGCCTGTTGAGAATGTTTTTGAGCCTGGTACAGGACCCTTCTTGCATGGTCATGATTGGCAAAGGGAATAATTCCACAACTCAAACCTAATAAAAAGGACATGTCAAGTTCACAGTGTGTGTACTTCATAGGTTGCTTCCTATCAGCTTCCTCTAAGAGAAATTTTATACCCCATGCAGTACAGCAGTCCTCTTCCTCTTCAGTTCCAACAAACTCGACAATGCCCTTGTCCAGAAGAGATTGGAAGGTGAAATTTCCCCCTTTAAGTGCTTTTATTTTATCCAAGTTCTCAACAACTAAAAGAGGACGTAAAATCCTTCCAGCATCAGAATATATGCGTACTTCTCCCTGCTGTTCATCTCTTTTGATTTCCACCTACAAGACAAAACCATCACTGAAAAGGTTAGGAAGGAAACAAAAATAAATCAGATAAAATGAATTACCTACCAAACCATCCATTTAAAGGGTAAGGAAGAGTAAATCTAAGAATGTTAAATGCCTCAAACCATAAAAAGGGTTAACATAGAAGGGAAGAAAAAGAGAGAGAAGGTAGCAACAATTCAACATGCACCAAGCAATTTCTGAAAGTGGACCAATTTTTCTTTTGTTTTCATGATTTCCAATCAAATCATCAACTTTTTATTACAAGCTGCTCCCTATTCAACCACATTCAAATCCCACCCATTCTTCTACCATTCCAAGCTACTATTCAACCACATTCAAACCCCACCCATTCTTCTACCATTCGAAGCTACAGAGTCCCTATTCTGCCCATCTTAAGTCCATCGCAAGCACATGACTGTAAAAGAGACAGCAAGGTCTTCACAACTGGGACACCCTCTGCAACCATAGTTCCATCCACTCTAGCTTATAACGGTGTGCAGGGACAACTTAAGGTTAAAGTCCAATGCATGTAGTGTAATAATACTACTTTGGGACACTTCAAGTTTGCACATCAATATAACAAATAACATGAATTAACAAGCTTTCTATCGTAAGTTCTCAAGACTGTCAATTATTGGTTCAGAAAAAAAAATCATTCTTCAGATAGTTCAATTTTGACGCAATTGATCTATCTGTTGGTCTCAACCATACCAGCAAATTGCTCCCATACATAAACTGTATTTGCTAGAAATTTGAAAAAAAAATTCATGAATTGAAAATGAGACAACCTGATATGACAATTCTCTCCTGCGCCGCATGCTTCTTAGCTCACTAACAAACAAAGAAGAATCTTCACTAACTCCAACCCATTCCCCATTCAGAAATACTTTATGCTTCCCATTCAGTTTAATGTAGGTATCATCTACTAGTTTCTCCATTCCACTATCAAAGAATTTGTCAACTAGTGGTTCTGATATGTTGATGCTGACAATTCCTGTGACAGCCAAGTTCTTCACAAGACCACAGTTTTCACCATCTGGAGTAGAGAGAAAGCAAACTCTACCCCAGTGAGAAGGGTGCCTGTGCCAAGAACATCATATTACAAAATTTAGCAACTACTACTGCCACATCATCCACCAAACAAAAAGGATAAAAATTCCCATATGGTCAAGCACACACGTGTTAAAGTACATACCCTTATAATAATTCAATTCGAGAAAAGAAACAATTATAGTCATAACCACCGTTAGAAAAGCTAATCAACATTTTTAACAGCACACGATCAGGTTTTTGAGATCAAGTACTCATTTGCATACAATTTTTTTGTCACTCGCTTGCAACTCAAATATAACCTGGCATTCCAAATTTCTAATAAGCAATCCATTTCAATTTTAATACTTAGCAAAATACATTAAGACAATCAAACCTGTTTCATGCAAATCCTGAAATAACTCAAAACTCATTTTCTAAAAATAACTCATGAATACTTCAATTAGTAAACAAGACTAGATTAATTTAGAAGTGAGGTGATTGCTTAATCATTAGTTCCCTCCCTTAGACAAAAGTTATTTTGAGGTTTCCCTCAGGTGATATGTTGCTAAAAACAAATGAGAAAACTTCCATCATTAAACACTTGAATTTTTGGAGAGAGTATATCAATTAAGACACAAAGCTCTAGCAACCTGGTGTAGTCAAGACAGTTTAGTACAATAATGCAATAAACTGATCTTAACCAATTACGCAGTGGAATTTAGTGAGGTTGTAACGTTTAACATCTCAATGTCACAATGCACAGAAACAAGAACTAATCTTAAGATATGAATAACTTACGGGTATCTGGCATCCCCAACCTTTCCAGTGTATTGGACTTGCTGCCTTGTTTTCCGCAAATCTAACATCGTTTGCAATGGATTTGCACGTCCAAGATTTGCCACAACTCCAGAAACCCTCTCCATCCTTTTGAAAGGATGACACCATGCTCCAGTTGAGAATGCTCTTGTCAAACCATTGGTCACTATGGAAGCATCCAAATAGTGTTCAATTGAGTGCACATCACGATCTCCATAAAGATCTCTCTGCAAAGCCTTGGTCATGCGCTTCCGTGCATGTATAATGTGAACTTTGAGCTCTCGTTCAAGCAACTCACCAGCCAACTCAAACCTCTTGTTTCTAAAACTGTCCCTGTTGTCACATTTCCTGTGGCCAGTATAGGCCTGTAAAAGGCACTTCACCATATATCCAAGAAAGCGAGCCTTCTGCCCTACGCTATTGAGGCTGGGAAACAGATATGCACTAATGCACTCTTCAATAGATTCAGATTCTGGTGGTGGGAATTTGGACTCTTTTATCAGAACGTTCAAATAATGAAGTGCTTCCCCTTTCTTACGAAAACCCTCGCACTTATCATCAGCATCATGAATTGAGGCAAAGAATATATTTACAATGCTAGCATCATTGCTGTCATAATCAACCAAATCTATCACTTCTTTGTCTGACCTCACACCAATGGCAAAAAACAATATCCATACAGGGATCTCTGTTGACAAGAAATATACACAGAGGCCTTTCTTTTCTCCTTTAATGTATTCCGATTTAGAGAGGTCCACGAGTCTAACAATCAACCTATTCCTCTTAACTTCAGATTTATAGGAAACAGTCCAGCCCTGACTATTTGAAATCCAAAGTCTCTTCAGACAACTTTGCTCTTGTGCAATGAAAGCCTGCAATATTAAAACAAATATATTTAAGTTTTGGCAGAAATAAATAATAAGAACAAAAGAATTAACTAAAATCAATGAAAAGAGCACATTCAAGGAATTTCAACCAAGAGAAAGAGAGAGAGAATACAAATGAAGTAGCCAGATAACCAATGTAGCACTTCTTAGTACCAAGGCTGCTTAATCCAACATCAGTAGAGAAAAAGAATACTAACATTTAACTGCAAAATTGGGAAAAGACATCTCAGTCCAAATCACTCATGAAATGTATAAATTACTTGTCTCCTAAATATCTGCTGTTCTGCTTTACAGGCTACATAACTGACAGGAGTAAATTAAATTGGTTTTGGATTTGCAGTTGATAATCAAATCAAACAGATATGCTCAAATATCAACTACCAGAGAATGATCCATTTCAGGGAATACAAGCTTAAACGTGTGGACGAGAACCAAAAAGTATAAGAAGAGGAAACTAAACACAAACCTCAGACTCACCTTCTCGGAACCCTTGATCAGAAAATAGCCACCGTGATCAAAATCACAATCCCCCTTTTCAACCGTATTCAGCCAGCAAAGGTCACTCTTCACCATAACAGGGATCCTTCCAATTATCATTTCCCTGTTTTCAGTATGTACGACTTCCTTTTGAATAAGTTGATCTATCCCCGTTTTGAACTTGTCACTTCTAACAACCCTTCGAGTGTATACCTGACATGTTTGCAGCAAAATATAAGAGATTAAGAGCTTTAGAAGGCAGAGAAGATATCCCAAAGTTTACAGCATCCTCTATAATTTTAGCTAAAACAGTTGACACAGAATGAAAGTGCTGCAATTGCACCATTTTAACAGAGAGAATTGTTCACTTCTTTCTCCTCTCCAGTTAATAAGAGTCCACATGGTTGATACTCAATAGTATACACAGAAACGAAAACAACAAAATAGAGATTGAAAAAATGAACCAATTAAAAGTTTAATGTCGAGTGGACACTTAAGTCTTCAAGTCATTTGTATCAATATGTCAAAAATGGCTACCACCACCACACTAGAGAAATTTCTGAACACCACCATCATAGGCAACTGTCAAGTCAACTGCTGTGGTTATTATGATACTCGACCTTAAAATGGTACCAACTTCATCAAGGCCCTTGCCGAACAACAAGGGTTTTTTGAAATATAACTAAGAATTCTAAGAGTCTCGAAAACTTACTAATACAACATACTAATATTGCAGTTAAGACATATCATGACACAAATACTAGAGATCAGCACTGCCATTCCTACTTTAGACAAAAATTCGAACTTTTCAACAGTAAAAGTTTGAGGTTGCATTTACCTTGTCAAACACGGTGCAAACAGTATCAGGTCAAACTGCAACCATCAATAAAACCCAGAACTCTCATATGGAATTACATACCTGAACCTCGACCTGCACTTTCATCCTTGCTGAATATGTCATGTTCTGAAGTCTGGCATGCCTGGGAAGCATATTATGCTCTTTAGCATTTGAGCCACCCCAAAAACTTGGTCGATCGAGGGTGACCTGTCCAAACCTAACTAATGCATGTTTCCATTCGCCGTCTCCTTTCTTAGATGCATCATATCCAGGATCAACAACAGCCTCGCCTAATGAATCAAATGCCCTCTGTAACCCATTACTGATGAAGTCATTATAAGAGTTCAGCTGGTGACTGATGATACCGTACTCATCAAAAAACAAAGATGCTGCCTTCCTACAGAAACCTCTCAGAGTTTCTTCCCCCAAGTCACGTAAATTAGTCGCGTCCATTGAGTCGTCATCTATATCCATATCATCTACTTCACCCTTACTACTCTGACCCACCTCCTCCATATAATCTGATGGTGCAGCCATGTAAATCAAGATCTGTAAAGAATAAATGAGAGAAACATCAACAAAGAAGCTGCAATCATAAACGGTACCATTTGATAGATTGTCATCCTGATCATTTTATGCCATAAATGTATTTCTTCCTCTTCAATAAACACCATAAGCATTTGGATTAACTCTTAATTCAAAATTACACTTTTTTATCAACTCGTTTCCCTTTAAAACACCACTGCAGAAACTGCAGAAACACTTTTCTCAACTGCCACTTAAACATACAGTAATCTATTATTGCTCCTGCAAGTGATAACTTTAAGAAAATGTAAAAATGGCATATTTTACAATGTAACGGTGTTGTTTCAGACATGCAAGAAAAAGCCAGAATTTTTGGTCTCTCACTCAAGTTTTTCACTTGTAGAACAACAACAAAAGCACAGAAAAAGAAAACAACTTAGCCATCTGGATTTTTCTCCAACACAACAAAACTTCCAAAAAGCCACTAGATTTCTACTAAAACGTGTTACAAATTTACACCTTTACTAGGCACAAATAAACCCCACCACCAAGAACCAAAAAAACAAAGCCAAAAAGCTACGAACTTTAAACATTTTATGAGAAAATAAACCCAAAATGAGAAACAAAATACATTGAAAATAAAGAGAGAGAAACGAAAAGAAAACTTAAATTAAACTGTAAAGTCTAAAAACCCCTCTTTTCTTGATCAAAGTTTGCACCTTTAGGCCTTCAAATGAGAGAAAAATCTCTCCTTCACACAATGTGAGCGTTAAAAATTTAATGGTTTTCTTGGTTTTTGATCAGAAAAAGTTGTCAGGGACAGTGACCGAGTGAACTGAGAAAAATTTAATCGTGGTCCTGAGGAAACTGAGTGGAGGTGTACGGTAAGGTGAGTGACAAGGTTGGTGTGGTGCATGCAGGTGCAATATTGTCATTTAGAAAGCTGGAAACCAAAAGGTGTTTTTTTTTTTTTTTTGAACTCCAGACAGCCAAATATCTAGTATTCCATTGAAACTTAAAACCGTGATTTCTTATTGCAAAACATCATTATCACTGGGCTATAACCTCTTCGGTTAAACCAAAGGGTTCAAAGTACGGATTCTGTCCGAACAGAGACCTTTGATAAAAAGACGCATGTACCCCACAGAGGTAAAGAGGGTTCAGGGATAGAATTGTGAAATTAGTTGTGTGTTTGGACTCTGGAAATGGAGGTTTTTCAATTTCAGCTTTTGGACTGGTCCAGCTTTTTTTATGACCATGAAAGGATAAAAGGATCTTGAATCAGATTCATGCGTGACGGTGAAGGTTGTTTACTTTTAACCTGTGATGATAACAAGGTGAAGGTGAAGCCACATAGAATTGTGAAATTAATTTGATTTGTTTTTCTGTCTTAATCTCATATTTCTATTTGATTTTTCTGTTTTTATCTTTTTTATCAAAATTAAATAAAAAGTTTTTGAAAAAAAAACTAGAAAAAAATGAAGATATATTGCATCATTCTCTGTAAAAATTAAAATTTTAAAAAAAGATGAAGCTAAAAATACTTTTTTATTCAAAATATCTTTTATGTATTTAGATTCCTTAAATGAAATATTTATAATATTTTTTTTAATATTAACAAAATTTATATTCTCACGTTTAAGAGATATTGAGAAATTTATAAGATAAAAATAAGTAAATTATAATAGACTCATTTGATAAGTTATAAAATTATAAATATCATTCAAAAATTTAACTAAAACTCTCTTCACTTAAAACAAACTATAAATATTTTATTTTATCTTCAAAATTTACATACTACCACATAGACAAATTTAAGCCCATAAAAAAATGTTTTGGATAAAAAAAATTATCCTCATCTTTTTTTCATTTTCAATTTTTAAAAAGAATGACCAGATATATTTTCATTTTTTTCTTTATGGTTTTGTTTTAATTTTCCATAATTTATTTTTTTGAAATTTGATAAAATAAAGATGGAAAAATAAAGTATAGGGATGAGATTAAAATAGAAAAAAAATTAACTTCATTAGTTCAAAAGTTAACGAAAAAAAGAGATTAAGATAGAAATTAAAAATAGAAAAATGAGATGAAAGAGAATAAAGAGATATGATTAAGAAAAATAGATAGACCTTTATAACCATTAACCCATTTAGCAATAAGAGCATGGTAGGATCAAAGGCTTGACTTGATGGAATATGATCCAAGTGAATTGAAGCTAAAAACGAGTGTGTGACCATAAGGTTAATGTGTAGTGATGTAACATAAAATCACAATTGAAAAGCATTAAAATAGTATTATGAATGGGAAAGCTTTGAAGAAAAAAAAGTAAGGGAAAAAAACAAAGACTAGCCGAAAATGTATTTGTTAGTTTATTCCTCGGTTTAATGGCAAATTTTACCCCAATTCTATTATGATTCGGTAATTTTGGACCCATAATATCAAATCGCGGAATTTGAATTTCAAAGTATTAGAGATTGAGCAAATGCGATCCAAATTACTCAATTTTCGTAATGTGTAATGGTCAATCCATAATGATGCACATAACGAAAATTGAGCAATTTGAATCACATTTGCTCAATATCTAATACTTTGGAGTTTAAATTACAAGATTAGATATTATGGATCCAAAATTGTCAAATCGCAATATAATAAGGGTAAAATTTATCATTAAATCATTTATCCCTAAAAAATGAAGATTGAAACCATAATTTTTGTTTGAAAATTTAAAGCAAGATTTAACTGTGATATAATTATTAATTTGGCACATGCTATGTTTTCCATATAAAGCAAAATGTTGAAAAGCGGAGGAAAAAAGATTTATCTTATTTAGTTGTTAGAGAATACATGAGAAGAGTATGGGGAATTAGCACATTAATTATATTTAATTTTTAGGCAAAACCCATGTATTTCAATTTTGGAACATCTTTAGCAAGATCAATTTGATGATATCAACCCAAAATCCTTCATTATATAATGTATACGATCACATATTTTCAAGAATTTTTTTCGCAACTAACATTTTTCTATTGGTATGTCTACCACCACTAATGTTTCCCTTTTGTGTCATTTTCAGCTAAAGTCTAAGATAGACTTGTAAACTATAATCAATGATACAATCATGCGAAAGTGTAAATTATAATCAACAAGTACAATTGTGCGGAAGAATAAATATATGATTTGAAGATTCTCATAAATCCTAGAACTTCATGCTTTTTACATATCTTTAAAAGAAAAACATACCTTGATTCATATTTGACCTTTGAATCCATGACAAAAAACAAGTAGGTGAAGGATGATTTTTCTCTATTGATCTCTTTCTTAATGATAGAAATTGGTATCCCTTTGTTTATATCAACTTTTGCTTCGTTAGTTTTTTTCTTAAGAGATAGAGAGAGGGTCATCCTTCTTTTATAGTTTTAACCCAAATCTCCCATCAAAATTTGTACATGTATCATAATTAATTTTATTTATTATAATTAATTAGATACATTTTATAATATACATGCATTATAATTAATATCATGTATCTTAATTAATTAGATACACTTTATAATATACACGTATCATAATATACATGTGTCATAATTAATATATGTATCACAATTAATTAGATACATTTTAAATATACATGTATTTATTATGTCACAATTAATATTATCATTTGGTTCATAATTAATCCTATATTCTCCTACTTGGCCCATACGATATTGCCTTTAAAATTTCATAAAAATATAATGTGTAAAAAATGATGATTGTAGGCTATAACGTTATATCATTATTAAATTAAAATATTAATGCAATTCATGAAAATTGTATGTTATTTTCTCCACACGATATCTTTCACATACCACAACATTAAGTTTCAACTTAATATGACCTTGAAGGAGGGTAATAATAATCCAACTTTAATGTCTTTATTACAAGACTATTCATGTCAACATTATTTTAAAAAAATTATGTTTATCAAATAGAAGAAAGAAAATATCGAAACATATAAATGAGCTCGGAGGGTCAAATATGTATACTTTATACAACCGTAATACAATATCACTAATGACATCCAATAATGCCCATTCTTCTAGCATGTTTATTAAATTTTTTGGATGTCAATCCTTCTATCGAGAATTTGTAATCATAATATTGATGCTAATGCGCTTAATTAACACTCTTCATTTCTAAAATTTTTGGTTAACAACCAATTATTTGATTTTCATATGTTTAGCACCCTTAAAAATACTTGTTATTTTGTAGAAAGTAAAACTGTTGTGGAGTTATCACAATAAATTTTCAGCAACTTGGCAATACTATCGATAAATCCATGCCCCGAAATAAAATTATGTAACCATAATTCATAAATGGTGGCCTCAAAGCATGTCACAAACTCAACTCTTGTAGTAGATACAATGATGACATAATACATTGCACTCTTTCATGAAATAGCTCCTCTAGTTAATAGAAATAAATAGTCATCATATCTAGCAATATCCGAATCCGAATATCCCATCACCTCAAGATGATCATCTTATAAGTGAGTATGTGGATCTTTAATTTCTTTCAAGTATCCGAGAACTTTCTATATAGCTTTATAGTGATCCGTAACTGGATTATTTTGATACATGTCTAGCATTCATATGGAATTATTTATTTATTTATTATTAGTTTCTCTCGTTCTAATTCACTTTCTAGACATTACGTGAGTTTAATTTGTCTTCTTTCTAAATTAAAACTATTCATGCTGATTATTTATCAATCTTGAATTTCTCTAAAAATTTATTAATTCAGGCCAAGACAATCCTAACAACCCCCGTAATCTATTACAAAATATTTATATTCCTATCACACAAGTCATCTCTTTCATAACTTTAATTTTAAAACTTTTAGAAAGGCATTTCTTGGTTTCATGTAATAAATCTAAATCATTAACAACATGTAAAATGTCATCAACCAACAAAATAAACTTGCTCCTACCGATCTTTATATAGATATACCAATCAATGATGTTCTTTTAAAAT